GATAGACAGATAGATAAGATAGATGATAGATAGATAGATAGATAGATAGATAGATAGATAGATAGATAGATAGATAGATAGATAGACAGATAATAGATGAGATTAGAGAGACAGACAGTTAGAAGAAAGAAGGGAGGGAAGGATGGAAGGAAGATAAGAGGGAAGGAGGAAGGGAAGAAAGGAAGAAGAGATAGGGAAGGAGGGAAGGAAGGAAGGAGGGAGGGAGGGAGGGAGGGAGGGCATGGAGGGAATAGAAGGTAGCTTGACAAACAAGTTGTCTATAATTAAGCCTATTTCAAAGTGCAGGGCTAATGCATTATAAATAAGCCCCTCTAGAACAGATATATGGGTCACTCTCTCCCTCTCCTACCCCGCCAAGGTTTCTCCCGTCCGATCCCTAATTAGACTACATTATCCACCGGCTTGACACTTCAGTCAAACGTCCATCGCCAAGGTGCCCCGCTCGCTTGGCTTGGTGTAGGTTTATTGATATTCCGCTGGGTTCCCTCGGCCGAACCTCTTCCCCCCCCCCCCGCATTCCCAGCGGCCGGCTTCTGTTTTATCCCACATCAAAAGGGCTGTATGCTCAGGGCACTCCTCGTCCGCCCGCCCCCCACGGCTGGCTGGTTTCCTGCCTGCCCGCCTGGCGCAGAGCCGGAGGTCTGAAAACAGCTGCGAGCAGAAATGGTATCACAGGAGGGACCACTTCCAACAGATGTTGGAGAGGGGAGGGGGATGAAGGAAAGGAGGAGGAGGAGGAGAAGCGGAGGAAGGGACAGGGAGGGGGGCAAGAGGAAGAGGGAAGAGCAGGCAACCGGAGTTATATATCAACGGTGGCTTCCCCCCTGGCTCGCCATTAAAGAGTCATTAACAGCATCTTCAGGCTTCCATCCCGAGGGAGCCGCGGGGCAGGAGCCCCTTCTACAAGTAGTCCTCGACTTACGACCACAAGCATTTGGCCGTGGCTAAGCGAGACGTTCCTCAAGCGATTTTCACCCTGTTCCATGGCCTTTCTTGCCAGAGTTGTTAAGTGGATCATTGCTTAATAATATGGTCGTTAAGTGAACCCGGCTTCCCCATCCGCTTGGCTTGTCAGAAGGTCGCAAAAGGGGGTCACATGACCTTCGCTACACTGTGACCGTCGTGAGTATGGATCAATGGCTAATGGTCTGAATTTTGATCACTTAACCTACTTCAAAACCCGCGTTGGAGCTATGCGGAATTTTTCTTGGTGCCTATCAATTTACTGCGCTGAGCCGCGGAGAAGGAAGAGCTAGTTGGCAAACCGCAACGCGCAAAGATGCCGAAAACCTTTCCCCCCCCCCCCAGCTGTCAGCTGCAGAACTTAATACCCGTGGCCCTTGGGCTGCAGGACACACACACACACAAACCCTGTTGTGATCAATCGCGATTCTAATGGCATTCACAGCCCTCTAGGATTCCTGGAAGCCTCATCGATCAATACATAGGGGCTCCTCGGAGATTCCCAGCGACAGCGTTAAACCCCCAAGAGCGTCGCAAGGATGTCCGTGCAAAAGCCAACGCAACGGCAAGAGGTGGGACAGAAAGCCAGGCAATTAAGGCCAGCCGAATGACACCGGGAGGAGAAATAAAAGGAAGAAGTGGGAAGGAGCGGTAGCCCGCAGGCCCAGTTCACACAATGTTTTTGACATTTTTCTTCCGAACCAGTGATATACCGAGCTGCCTTTTCGAGCCGCGTGCCGTAAATCTGGCTGGAGGTTGTCGGGGAAGCAAGATCTTCCCACTTTGAAACAACTTTGCTTTCCCTTTAGGTTGGAACTGAACACAGTGCTTGCTGGTCGTTGTGGCACTGAATCTCGGGATCTATGGTGATTATTTTCCCTTGCAAAATAGATGCAGAATAGGTGTCATTCCACCTCGATTTTCCGTTGTTCAGAAATTACTGTTCTGACCTAGGCTTCCCGAGACAGTAAAAAGCACGCGCTTAGTCCCCAAAACACTCTTTTTATTTCAACGGCTGCGGAATTATGTTCCTTCACAGCCCGTAATGAGTCCCAAATAAGTTTGTAAAGAGTCCAACAGAAGTCTGCCAAAGTCTTTTGGGATAAGGCTGAAAAGCACCCATCTTTATCTCCCTTGAAACGCTGCCAAAGACCTAATTGGTAATTAGCTTTGCAAGGCCACACGGAGCACAGAGTCAAAACGGAGCTTCAGAATTTAGACGACCAGAACGAACAAAGAGCTAGGTTGCTTCTCTCTTTCATTAGTTTCCACCCGCTTGGCAACTGGCTCATACTTATGACCGTTGTTGTGTCTTAGGTGATCCCTTTTTGTGACCTTCTGGTGAGCACAATCAATGGGGAAGCCAGATTCACTTAACAACTGTGTTACTATTAGAATAGAATAGAATAGAATAACAGAATAGAATAACAGAATAGAATAGAATAACAGAATAGAATAACAGAATAGAATAACAGAATAGAATAGAATAGAATAACAGAATAGAATAGAATAGAATAACAAAATAATAACAGAATAGAATAGAATAACAGAATAGAAGAATAGAATAGAATAACAGAATAGAATAGAATAGAATAACAGAAAATAATAACAGAATAGAATAGAATAGAATAACAGAATAGAATAGAATAGAATAACAGAAAAGAATAACAGAATAGAATAGTATAACAGAAAAGAATAATAGAATACAATAGAAAGAATAACAGAATAGAATAGAATACAATAGAATAACAAATTTGGAAGGGACCTTAGAGGTCTTCTAGTCCAACCCCTTGCTGAGGCAGGAAACCTTCTATACCACTTCAGACAAAGGGTTATCTAATCTCTTATTAAAGACTTCCAGTGTTGGAGCATTCACAACTTCTGGAGGCAAGTTGTTCCACTGATACATTGTCCTCACTGTCAGGAAATTTCTCCTTAATTCCAGGTTGCTTCTCTCCTTGATTAGTTTCCACCCATTGCTTCTTGTCCTGCCCTCAGGTGCTTTGGAGAATAGGTGGACCTCCCCCCCCCCCTTCTTTGGGGCAGCCCCTGAGATGCTGGAACACGGGTATCACGTCACGCCTAGTTCGAATCTCAGATCCCCTCGTTGCAAGCTCTGGGTCATACATACGCTGCAGACGCAGTCATCCAGCTTCAGGCGTTCTTCAATCAGCTGGGCCCACAGATCTTTGGAGACATTCTAAATCATTGTTCAAGAGAGAGAAGGAAGAGGTGAGCTCAAGAGAACCAGACCCCAACTCCATGCAATCAAGAAATATCTCAATCAAGCAACCAGCGAGGACAGGACAACTCCTGACCCCACTGCTAGAATACAAAACGAGAGCCAACCCCACTCTTTCTAGCACTGATAAGGTTACCAAGTTGGGTGATGAGATGTCAGTAAGAAAATAACCAAGCTCAGAGAGCACCTGGGACCTGAGTCACCATCCTCCTCCTCCTCCTCCTTTTCTTCCTCCCCCTCCTCTCCCCAAACCGCACTCCCTTCTAGGACTGATGACATTATCTAGTTGGATCATGAAACGTCTGCAAGAAAACAACCCAGCCGAGAGAGCACTGAGTACCCCAGAGCCACCATCTTCATCCTCTTCCTCCTCTTCTCTTCTTCCTCGTCCTCCTGCTCTTCTGCCCCCTTCTCCTTCACTGCACAAACCCCACTCCTAGCACAGATGATGTTCCCTGGCTAGGTAATGAAACATCTGCAGGAAAGTCACCAAGCTCAGAGAGCACCAAGGATCCTGCAGTCATCCTTCTTCTCTTCCTGCTCTTCTTCTTCTCCCTCCTTCTCCTCCACTCCATAAACCCCACTCCCTCCTAGCACTGATGATGTTACCTAGTGGGGTGATGAAATGTCTGCAAGAAAACCACCAAGCTCAGAGAGCACCAAGGACCCCACAGTCGTCATCCTTCTTCTCCTTTTCTTCTACCTCCTTCTCCTCCAC